GACCTTTTAGCTTGCTTGTTAACAAATTTTGCATATAATTTTAATATATCTTCAATAACCATTACAATTAATTAGTATGACAAACGTATGTAATTTTAAAATAGAGATTAATAGTATGTTTGTATTTTTCAACTTTGCTAAATATATATTTATCAATAATAATTTATTAATCATATAAATATATATATATATATATATATATATATATATATATATATATATATATATATATATATAAACCGGTTCCGGCGGATACCCGGTGGGTAGCGGTTCCAACAAAATGAGAACCGGAACCGCCAAAACTTTAGGAACAAGAACCGGGACCACCTAAGGCGGTTTCGGTTCCAGAACCGGCAGTTCCAGTTCCGAAAGCGGGTACCCGGTTATGATGCTCATCCCTACACATAAAGTTGCAAACTTTACGTGCATGCATAGCCCTACAAGCTCCAAAAGGCAAATCCAAGCTTTTTATGAGTTCATACACTCAATGGGGATCTCAATCACTCCAACCACATAAACTTTATACTTCTAATACATCCATATTGTCTAGATCTGAAGTCCTTTCAGACCATTAAGCACAAACACAAGGACTATGGTGTTTTAGGGACAAAAGAGGATCTAAAGAACTAGTGATCAAGGTAGGGGCTTTTCTACTTGAATGGAAGCCTCTTGCAGTGTAGATTCCGGATCTACCTCTCCTCCTTGCACACCACAACCTCTTTCTTCTTCTTCTATGCTCCAAATCTTCTTCACAAAGCCGAAATCACTCTCAAGAACAAAATGAGGGGCTAGGGTTTCGCTCTTCAGCTCTCGGGAATCAGGTGCTACAGTTGAAGACTGAAATCCTATGCTTATGTGTTCCTATATCAAATGGCAAACTGTAAGTTTCTGTTGGCTTGGATTCTTTTGTCGGTCTTCTGATCAAATTAGGATGACATTTATGCCGGAATCGATGTTATGTCTGGTTCAGTTCCGTTCGGTAATTAGAAGAGTGGGTAAAAAATTTCATTTGTTTTCTATATACCATGTGGTTGTGTTTGCAGTTGCATATTAAGTGTTTGGGGAAATGCTATGCTTCATAATGACCCTTATATTCATTTTAATCATTATGAAACTTTTTTGTTGAAATGTTATTTAACTTGATTACTTATCAAGTTTAACTAGGGATGCTTTCTTAATCAATTATTGATTTTTTCTTTGTTATGTTTTAGTATCTAAGAATATAATGACATAGAGTAGGTGCAAGCATTTCATCTTAGAAAGAGAGTAAAGTAAAGTGGGATGTTGTAAATATAATGAACAAATACTTTCTTTTCTTATATGTATTTATATGCAAATTTGATGTGTGTGTATGTATGTGTGATTGAGCAAGTAACTCACTCATGGCTAGGCTTGAAGCTTAGAAAGTCATTTGTGATTCTTCAGAAATATAGCTTCACAAGAAATTTAAAGTTAACTGTAATAAGAATCTTTAATTGATTTTCTAGATTGATTCGGATGCGCCGTCGTTATTGAAGCGACCTAAAATTCGTGAGTTGCTCATTGTTGATCTGAGGATTTGAAACTGTTGGTGTTATGGATTATGTGAAGAAAATGAAGAATCAAAATTTGTACTTGATTGCAAGGCAGGAGCCTATTCATTGCATTTCAGAGGTTTGTTTGACATATAAGCAAAGTACCCCTTTAATGCTTTCGTGGTGAAATATTTTTTGACCCAAGTTTTTCTAATAAAATGCCTTAACGGATGTTCTAATGCTTTGTTTGGATTTTGATACTTTGTTTGGATTGTAAGGGGTACTTTGATCATATTGAAAATACGATGCAAGAAAACACCAATAGCAAGGTTTATAGTTTTCACAGTAAAAGCCAATTTATCCCTTTTAAAATTTGCAATTGTAATTTTCTTATAAAATTTTGAAATGATAGTATAATTTGTTGGTATCTGTATATTTGTCTGCTCATAATTATTATAATATTTTCAATTTCTTAAAATAATTAAAGTAAGCTCCTATCATGTTACAAAGTTTCAATGTTTTATTTAAAGTGACTCTTCTGTTGACCGATGGTCACATAAAATGTCAAATTTTAGCTCCTAAAAATGTTATTTTTTTTACTCATTGTTGATGCACAAATGGAGCAAAGCTGCAAAGGGTTAAACAAATCCCACCCTACCTTTGATAAAATATAAATCATATTACAAATTTTGCAATTATCTTCAAAATATAAGTGGGCTTTTTTAAATTCTTTTGTGTTTTGTTTAGTTTTTCTTTTACAGGAAGACTGAGTGAAATTGAGGTGCAAATTCAAAGACTAAATTCATCAAAAAAAAATTGATTGTCTTTGAATTAGAATCATACGCATGACTTTCTTGCGGAAGTAAAAGTTGGGGTTTAAGTATGAATATTGATTATTCGGATCATATTTCTAATGTAGTTCATATATTGCAGCTCATCTTCCCATATCAATTCTAATTTCAAGCTTTAGAGGGTCGTTCATTATCAATATTTATTTACATAAAATATAATAATATTTTCATATGAAATATAAAATAATATTATTATTTGATTCTTTTTCTTTTTTCATGTGGCTGGTCCTCATCACGTGTCAAATGTTTGGGCTATCCATATTCATACTCATGATTCATTTTTTATTTTTAGGAAGGTAACAAATATTTTCAATCAACAAAATCGTTTATATTAAGATTCCATTATATACATATCATTTGAAGTTTTAGTTTTCCGTTTTTTTACAATTTATGGTTCTAGATTATACATCGAAAATGGCACTTGAAATTCCCTACAAGGAGAAATATCCAGTATGAAGTATGAAATTGCATCTTCTTTGCTTCTATTTTTTGAACAGCATTCAAGCAGTCATCCGGTTCTCCCTTTTGTTCTCCATCAGGTTTTTTTGGCACACTAATAATGCAAATAACACCCCAATTGGTAGCATATCTCCCTTTGGGGTGCGGAAGGGGGTTCCATTTTTGGTGCCCCTCTTGGGAAGGGGTAATTTCGTAATTTTGGTACAAGCATATGGTTAATAATTAAGGAAGAGAGAAAGATCATGAAATGAGAATGGTTAATAATGAAGGAAGAGAGAAAGATCATGAAATGAGAACTGCTACCAATATGTAGGTTTGCTATAAACATTTATACATTATGTAATATGTGTTGTACATTGTTCCATTTTTGATAATCTCATGATTGATAAATACACTCAGTTTTCGCTTCTAGATTTCATGGATTGAATAAAGTAGGTTGTTATTTTCTGTATTGTTTTGCAGAGTGGAAATCTAATATTGTGAAAAAAGTTCTCTCAAAATCGATTTTCAGCATAGTTTTTGTTTTTCCATTTTGAATATGGCTTGACTAATTGGATTATCAAAAGATAAAAACCATGCTCAAACATGACAACCATACACTACCTATGACTATACGACATACATAACCAAAAACTAAAAAACTTAAAGTCTGGTTGTAACCGAACCCCACGGAGTGGGGTACCCCAGCTAGTTAAAATGATGATTATATCAATATTTTAGAGTCTATATACTTTGGGTTGCGTCGATTTAATACGCCATTATAATGAGATTGCAACTAATACAAGCAAAATCACATATTAGCTTAATCACATGCGATGCGATTTTGATCGTTAAATTTGAAATTCTCTTAACTTTTGGCTATAAATTGCAAAGTACTTAACATTTCCGGATGTTTTTGAAATTTTTAAATAGCAAATATTAAAATGATAACAAGTTGGAGGGCTAATCTTACTCTCTCAACAAGACCAATTTCAATGACAAACATTAAAATGATAATGATGATGTAATTTCAAGATTTTTGGGTTTATATATTTTGGGCTCATGTGCCGAAACATTTCATAAGCCATTGTAATGAGTTCGCAATTCATACAAGTGAGATCACAGGCGACCTAAATCACCTGCGAATTTTGATGTCTAAATTTGAAATTCTCTTAATTTTTGGCTATTAATTGCGAAGTATTTAACTTGTGTTGTTTATGTAAATTTCTCTATACTAAATAGTTAGAAAAAAGCTAAAATTCTAAAAATTTAGAGACTGTTGATGGTCATGTGTAACTGATGCTCTAAGACATATTCTTGGCGATTCTCATGTCCTGTGATTTAATGAATAACCAATTATGAATTTCATGAAAATTAAGTCCACTACATTATTTTATGGACAAGCATCTCAAGATAGGGATGAGCTTAAATGCAAAGTTAAACTTATATTCTTTAGGAAACGATCTGAATGTGAAATCACTCAAAAACCTATAAAACCTAATTATTTCAAATTTAAAAATACATTATTTAAGATAAAATAAAAAATTACCATGAGCTCCGGCAACTTTTCATAAAAAAGAAAAAAACCTATAATCACGAATCTACATGATCATGTGCAATATTTAGAAAGAGAAAAGATAAATGGACCCTATAACAAAAAATATAGACAAAAAATTCTTATCTTAAGTAGAAATACCTCTGGGTGGGTAACTTCAGATGCTAAAAGCTTGAAATCTAAGTTACTTAACATTAACAAAACATATCTAATCGATTATATTAAGGTCAATAAAAATATGAGATTTATCAGCATTAACGTTCACAGGCTAACAAAGCATCTATTATGCATTTAAACTTTTATCAGATTCAACTAGTCTTGCAGATATCATCCTCAATTGCCGTTTTTTCATTATGTTTGTCCCCGATTTATGTCAAAAACTATAACAATCCGACCTTCCAAGCAAAAGTAGTGTTTCCATGAACGGTTGCACAGCGGATAATTTCCTTTTTCCAAAAATCTCAAGATCATTAAAGTGTCGTGAGTTGGGATCATATACCATAATTTGACTTTTTTCATAGCCATACTCGTCCACTTCCATTATAGGTGTGCCATTCTTCCTGAATCCCAGTGGCATAATTAACGCATGTTGTGAAATAACAGTGAATAGCTTTGTAAATGATTTTTGAGCACCATTCTCCATCATCCATAATGCACATGATATGTCACAGGCACATCAATAGTAATCGATTTTCCGATTGAAGGATTCCAAAGTACAACCATCCGCTTTTCATAGTTGGAATGAGATCTCTTTGGCGCATAATAATAGCCATCGAAGCACAACAACCCATTACAGCTACCGACTAAGCATGACCTTTTAAGTAGTTGAACGGAGAGGGGAAGAGCCGGAACAAACCTCTGTTGGGGGAAAGTGTCATCGTCGACGATAGAAACATATCGCGCCTCCTCTCCTACCACATACTTTATAAGCAGTTGTTGACACTCATGTTTGCCAACGGTGTGCGCAGCAATAAAATAAGCGCTATCGATTAAACACCTCCATGCTTTGCAGACAGATCTAAACCGAATCAATGATTTTACAGGGAGCCTTTTGAGGATTTCTTCTTGAACATGGAAAGGAATTTGGCCAGACATTTGATGTTGGGCGCCGATGGGTTATGACATACAAATTTCTAGGGTTTTTATAAAGGGAGGATTGGGTACGTCTTTGTCTTTATAAGATTTTCTCAATCAAATTTCACGCGTTATTTTCATAAAAATTCTTTCTTTTTACCCATAAAATTTTACCCGATTTTCTCAATAAATTTCACATTAACCCCCGGGTTATTTTCACAAAAATTCTTTCTTTTTATGCGTAAAATTTTACCCAATTTTCTCAATCAAATTTCACATTAACCTCCGGGTTATTTTCATATAAGTTCTTTCTTTTTACGCATAAAATTTTACCCAACTTTTATATACTTTTATATACTTTTATATACCTGTTATCATAACAGGGCACCAACATAAAAATCGAATATTTTTGTTATTTTATTAAAAACTATACGTTTTGTATTTTTTTTTCCAGCTTAGATCTAAAATGTTTTTTTCAATATAAACTCAATTTTAAAATTGGTTATTAGTTTCGAGACTAGCTGTATAAGGTAGCTTTTGACTACACCGATTTCATAAAGCTTAATTTTATCCACGCATAAAAAACATAATTATATCATTTTAGTTTAAACATAAACACCGATTCAAACAACATAATTATTGTGCCTACATTTATTTATGACATGACTATTCTTTGTCGACGTATATTTAAAAAAAAACAATAGTTGTAAAATCTATTTCTTCAGTGTAGCTTATGTAGAAGCATAAAAAAATGTAAGTATATTCTTTTAATTTAAAAAACAAACAATGATTTAACTTTTGCATCTTTTGGTATCATATTATTTTACACATCAAACATATTTTTTGAGTCATTATATATGCAATGAAGTTGTAGAGTAGAGCCTTTTTGTTTCACGATATTAATATAAACAATAACAAAATGTTTTGTATGCATTTGGAAAATTTGACATGTCAAGTCAAATTTTCTAATAGTACAAAGAAGATTTTATATAATTTTAAGATCATAAATGCAATAATCATATGAGAACCAAGCACCTTCAAACGTTTTTAAATTAAAATGAAAAATTTTATTTTGATAAATATTATGATTACCCTTAAGATCTAATAATCTTGTTATACAAACATAATGTTATATTTACTAATCTAAATTCCTAAGTCACAAACAATATATGTTCGAATATGAAGACTAACACACTTTAATATACACATAAGATACTAGAGATAGATCTATATAGTAACAAGGGTATGCGATTGCATACCCTTATATTTTATTTTATTTATTTATTTTTTGTAGATATGTAGATTACCTTAAAAAAAATTTAGACAAAACTGTAAATTTGGTTCTTGTGGCTTGCAAAAAAGCTGTGGATAAGGTTCAAAAAGTTTTTGACTTGCATGAAATTTCCAAAATCAAGATTTTTTTTTGTGGTTTTAGTCCTAAAATAAATAAATTTTGGTGGTTTTGGTCCTTAACAAACCTAAAAGGATGATTTTGCCCTTTTAATTCCTTTTTTTCATTTTTTACATCCCTTTTAAGAAGTTATTAATTAAAATTAAACAAATAAAAGAATTGGGGCCACTAGATCGTTCATCTCTCTCTCTCTCTCTCTCTCT